GTCCAGGTTCGAGAACTGCCGCGTGTTCGGCGGCTGGCTGCAGGGCGACTGCCGGCCCTTCAAGCAGGCGCTGCTCAACATCATCAAGCGATGGAGCCTGCTCTTCAAGCAGCACCTCAGCGACCACGTCACCACCAGGTAGGGCACCCGCAAGCACCCAGGATGCCGAAGGAGCAGCTCGTCTTGTTCCTTGGCACCTTCCGTGGGAGATGGGACCCAGCACCCTGCGGGGGTGGGCCAACGTGCTCTACCATCTCCAAGGATGGGGTTGGCCACCTGCCCGCTCACGCGACATCCCCCATCTCCATCTTCCAGCCTGCAGGAGCTGGAGAACTTCATGAAAGAGGCCAACGCCGGCCTGACGAAACCCCTCCAAGAGGGCGACTACGACGGGCTGGTGGAGGTGATGGGCCACCTGATGCGGGTGAAGGACAGGCAGGCGGCTACGGACAGCATGTTCCAGCCCCTCAAGGAAACGATCGCGCTGCTGAAGACCTACGGGGAGGAGATGCCCGAGGAAATCCACCAGCAGCTCCACGTGGGTGGCGCAGGCGTAGGACGCGGGTGCCGGGCGCGGGCACCGGTGCTGAGTGCCGTGTCCCTGCAGGACCTGCCGGAGCAGTGGAACAACACCAAGAAGCTCTCCTTCCAAGTGAAGCAGAATGTGGCGCCGCTGCAGGCCAACGAGGTCAACATCCTGCGCAGGAAGTGCCAGCAGTTCGAGGTGACACAGGGTGCAGGCGCGGGGGGGACGTGCTGCAGCCCCCGCCGCGCCACCAGCTTGCGTCCCCTCGCAGGTCCGGCAGCACGAGTTCAGGGAGAAGTTCCGGGAATGCGCCCCCTTCTCCTACAGTGACCCCGAGCCCTACAAGTCCCTGAATAAGGTAAGGGCATGAGTGCAGGTGGGAGCTACTGCCCATCTATGCGTGGCCACAGGGGTGTCCTGTCCCCCAAGTCCTGCCCGGGGACTTGCAATGCCCGGCGGCGCATTGGGATGTGTCTCCCACGCCGGCACGACGCGCTCCCTTCTTCCCCACGCAGCAACAGAAGAGCATCGCCGCGCTGGAGAGCGACATGGCAGCGCTGTCCACGTCAGCGGGGCTCTTCGAGGTGTCTGTCCCCGACTACAAGCAGCTCAAGGCCTGTCACAAGGAAGTGCGGCTGCTCAAGGAGCTCTGGGACATGATCGTCCTGGTAGGCACCGGGGAGGTGGCGCACGGGCAGAACCGTCGGCGCGCGCTGGGTTAGGTGCCCGCTTGGCGTGGCGGGCGGCGGAGCGGCGCGGGTGGTTCTGTGTTCTCAGTGCTCTGCTTGTGGTGACTACTGGTGAGTCCCCGTGGTGAATTCAGGGCCTAAGCAAAGGTACCCCCAAATTCAGGTCAACACCAGCATTGATGACTGGAAGACCACCAAGTGGAAGGACATCAACGTTGAGCAGATGGATATCGACTCCAAGAAGTTCGCTAAAGACATTCGAAGTTTGGATAAGGAGATGAGAAGCTGGGACGCGTTCACTGGGCTGGACAACAGCGTGAAGAACATGATCACGTCCCTGCGGGCGGTGAACGAGCTGCAGAACCCGGCCATCCGGGACCGGCACTGGCACGAGCTCCTGCAGGCTGCCAAGGTGCCCTGGCCCTGCGCGCTTGTCCAGAGCCCCGAGGGGACCGGGACAAGGGGCTCCGTCTCTCGGTGGCGGGTGCATCTCCATGGGGATGGTGTCCCTGATGACCATTGCTGCTGCAGGTGAACTTAAGCGGACCGGCGCGGAGCTGCTGCAGCTGAACCTGCACAAGTTTGAGGACGAGGTTCGCGGCATCGTGGACAAGGCCGTCAAGGAGTCGGGCATGGAGAAGGTGCAGTAGACACGGCTCCCTTACGCCGCCTGTTCCTTCTGGCTCCCTGTTCCCATGGCCGGCCTGTCCCCTGCACGGCTGTCCCCTCACTGACTCGCTTCGCCCCGCGCTCTGCTGCAGGTGCTGAAGGCTCTGGACGTGACCTGGTCGGCGATGCAGTTCGAACACGAGCCCCACGCCAGGACCGGCACCATGCTGCTCAAGTCGGACGAGGCGCTCATCGAGACGCTGGAGGACAACCAGGTGCAGCTGCAGAACCTCATGACGTCCAAGTACTTGGCCTTCTTCCTCCAGGAGGTGTCCAGCTGGCAGCAGAAGCTCTCCACCACCGACTCCGTCATAAGCATCTGGTTTGAGGTACAGAGAACGTGGAGCCACCTCGAGAGCATCTTCATTGGCTCTGAAGACATCCGCAATCAGCTGCCGGAAGACTCCCAGCGTTTTGACTCTATCGATAAGGATTTCAAAGCGAGTATCCTGCCTATCCCCCGCCACCCAGGATGCCCTGCTGGGTTTCGTTTGCTGAATTGCTTCTCCTCATGCAGGAACTAATGGCAGACGCAGTGAAAACCCCCAACGTAATCGAAGCAACAAATAAGCCTGGGCTCTATGACAAGTTAGAAGCCTTGCAGAAAAGGTGAGGTTCGAGTAATCCCCATGAAGCAACTTGCACTGCCAAAAGAAGAGCTTAATTTCCCGAGCAGCCTAAGTGACATCCTCCTCCAGGTGCCAACTACTTTGTAAGCAGTAAACAATAGCTTTTTTTTTTTTTTTTTAACTGCAGCTTTTCTTCCTTGTTTTCTCTTAGATTGGCGCTTTGTGAGAAGGCTTTGGCCGAATACCTAGAGACGAAACGCTTGGCTTTCCCCAGATTCTACTTTGTTTCTTCTGCAGACCTGCTTGACATTTTATCTAACGGAAACGAACCCGCGGAGGTACGGGGGTGTGAGGTGCAGAGGCAAATCCTCTGCCTCTTACGTGCCAGCCTCACTGGGGTGGGTTAAAACGCCTTGCGTGTTTGCATTCCCGGCACGCCGCTTACCCAGGGCGTAATCAGGAGTGCGCAATCCTCCCCACGCTGACGCAGCAGCTCCTGGCGTGTTTGTTTCCAGGTGGCCCGTCACCTGTCGAAGCTGTTTGACAGTCTTGCTAAACTGAAGTTCAGGATGGGCCCGGACAACAAGCCCCTGAAGATTGGCCTGGGGATGTTCAGCAAGGAGGACGAGTACGTGGATCTGGACAAGGACTGCGACTTGTCTGGCCAGGTCAGCAGCCCGGGGCTGAGGACGCGTCTTTGGCTTGTTGTGCCTGGCCACAGCTCGAAAAATGCAACCGCCTGAGCCCAAAACAGCCAGAAATGGGGTCCCTGTTGCAGCTGCACAACAGACTGCAGCTGTCAGCACAATATAAAAGCTGCCCGGCCCTGCAGCCCCCCGGCAGCTGCAGCAAGGGCTTCCCCTGCCTTTCGTTCACCCTCAGACCGTAGCTATAAACTGCAGTTTGAAGGCCGTGCACTGAGCTCCTTTGAGCAGTGTCTTGGCGCAGGGAAATGCTAGAGCCAACAGGAAGGTGCAGGGCTCTGTGGCGCTCCC